TGCGATGAGCACATCGGCAAAATATGGTAACACTCCAGGTAACCCATGGAGCAGCCGTTCCATGATGCTCTGGAAAATGCCGGGAGCCAGGCAGACTCCAAATTGGAGTCTACGGCAATGGAATGCTCCCTGATGTGTGATGATCATTTTGGCATCTGCCGTTGCATTGTCCACTGGTAATTGTTGATAAGCTTGAGCTAGGTCAAGCTTAGCAAAGAGGCGTCCATGACCTAATGAGTGCAATAGGTGTTGCACTACAAGTACTGGATAAGGATGAGCTTGCAATCCTGTATTAATTGTTGATTTATAATCCGTGCAGATCCTTATGGATCCATCTCATTTAATTGATATTATGATAGGAGTCTCCCACTTCGCATAATCTACAGGTTCTAATGTTCCTTGCCTAATTAACTTATCTAGCTCTGCATCCACCTTTTCTTGGAGCGTGAAAGGGACTCTCCTAGCTTTAAGGCTAATGGGTGCTACATTGGGGCCTAAATTAAAAGAAATTGGTGTTCCATTATATTTACCCAATTCATTGCTAAAAACGTCCTCGAACTCCCATGTCAGATCTTCAAAACCGGCAGCAATTTCTATAGAGTGAATTCCTGAAATAGAGAACCCCAATGCCTTGAACCAATATAAACCCAATAATGAAGCCAGCGGTCCCTCTACAACTATTAACTGTAGTATGCCCTTAAATTTGCCATGCTCAACTTGAAATTGCCCGCTACCCACAATTAGAATAGACCTTTTTTGATAATCTTTTAGAATGCAGCTAGTTGGGTCTAACTCTGCTCTAGAAATTGTGGGCAGGATTCTTTTGAGGCTGTCCCAGGAAATAATGGATCTCGCCGACCCCGTGTCGATCTTCATTTTACAAGGAGATCCCTCAATTAAAACAGTGGTAAACATCTTCTGGCTGCTGCCTTTTCCTTCAGAGGCTGTGGTGACAGTTTCTTCTTCCTCGCTGTCGCAGTAGATGGTGTTGCAGGTCTCCTTAGCGTGGGCTGATTGTCTTTGTGCCACTCTATTCACAGGATGACCAACATCTGTGGCAGGCAGGATGGCACGGCAGACATAGGCTAAGTGACCCACAACACTGGCAGATGGCTGATTTAAACCAGCAGTTGGACCACAGATGCTTCCCTCCACAACTCAGGCAGCTTGCCTGAGAAGCATTCATGGCTGGCTTCCATCTGCCACCCGCTGCTAACTTGATACGTGCTACTTCATCAATTGTTTGAGGTTCATCGGCTTCCTCAGCAGATTGCTGATTAACTGTGGCTGCTGCTGAGATCAGCATGTGGGAAGCTTGATATTTTTGAATTATAGCAGCGGACTGGGCTGCTTGCTCAGTCGCTCAAGCGTCATCTAAAGCAATGGCTAAAGTTAGCTCTGTTTTAGCTAGCAGGCGGCGCTGAAGCCTTAAATCCCTGCTGCCATAAACCAGTTGCTCCAGTAACGCCTTATCAAGATCTGGGAACTCACATTAAATCACAGCAATAGCAATAGCAGTAGACTTATATACCGNCTGCCCCCACCAGTAGGCTCCTCCCAGGAACCCCTGTGCCTCATTTTGGACCTGGAAGGCCTTCTGCACCAACCTGGAAGCCAAAATAGGGCACGGGGCATTGTGCGAGCCCCCAAAATTCAATACAAGCACCCCACACACATAATCCCGCCCCCTGCGGGGTGCAAAATTCAGCTGGCAAGCAGGAGGTGTGCGCAGTGGAACTGGGCTGGGGCGATGATTGGTGGGCCGTCAGAGAGGGCTCTGTATGCCACCTGTGACACACATGTCATAGCTTCGCCATCAGGGACTTGGGTCCACGTCTTGAATCTTTTCTTTGTATGCTCTAACACAGAGGTCCCCAACGCCCGGTCCATGGACTGGCACTGGGCTGCAGCATGAAAGAAACCAGGCCGCGCAAACAAGCGAAGCACCATCCATGGGATGCAGGCAGCACACAAAAGTACATCCCCTCCAGTCCATGAAAAGACCTTTCTCGTGATGCCCAAAAGACTGGGGGCTGCTGCTGTAATATATAGTCACCTTCAAAATTGTAGGCACTCTTCGTGAAATTTTATGTTCCAATAGGTGAACAGAAACTGTCACAACCTCCTCAAAGTTAAATGCAGCAAATGTCTACAAATCTGGATATTGATATTATGTATGTGCATTTGTTTACGGAATTAAAGTAAAAAATAGCAAATATGGCAGGCTTAAAAGTTTCAGCACCCTTAGAGTCAGTATTTCACGAGGCTCGTTTGGCAGGAATAACAGCTTCCAAAATAACAGTGTTTTTTTCGCCAGCTTGGAATTTTTCTGTTCTTGATTTTGAAAGCTTTTCCCACTCTCCCTTGCAAGTTGTCCCCCAACTCTGCCTTGCAAGCTTAGTATCATTTCCTGGTGTTCTTGCATGCCTCTTTTCAAGAATGCTCAATTCTGGGAATTGTGAAAGTCATTATCTTTCTTTTCTCTAAGGACTTCATATTTGATTGGAAAGTGCATTTTGGATTGTTGCCTTATTGAAATATCCAATCCCTTTTCAATTTCAGTTTCTTCACTGACTGTGGGGTCTTTACCTCTGGGACACAATGATAATTTGACTCCAAACCATCATTGAAACCATGTTTTCTTCCAATATTTCCTGTGCCAATGTCTGCCAAAACACTGCACAATATAACAGAGCCCCCCTCAAACAACCACCTTTTCATAACTGAAAGGTTTACTGTCTTGAAATGTACCATCCATTTTTTCTTCAAATGCATCTTGTATAGCTGTGGACAAACTCAATTTTGTTTCATAAGTTCAAAGCATTTTTTTCTAAAATATTTTAGGTTTATCAAGATTTTCTTTTGTATGATTTAAATAAAGGGTTTTGTGATGAGATAAGTGGAAAGGTTTCCTTTTGTCAACTCTCCTCTACCCATGATGGCGAACCTAGGGCACACATGTCACAGGTGGCACACGGACACGCTCTGTCAGAAAACAAGCCATCACCCCAGCTCATCTCCACCATGCATCAATGCATGCCTCCCACTGGCCAACTGATTTTCGGGTCTCTGCCGCACATGTGGGAGACATGTGTGCATGCATGGGGTCATGTGCGCAAGCACGGGGGGCAGGAGGGAGCATGGGGGGGCTCCGTGCCCCATTTTTGGTCCCAGGAGGCTCCAGGGAAGTCTGCTAGGCCCAAAATGGGGCATATGGAGGTCATGTGCACATTGCATTATGGGTGTTGGCATGCATGCGTGTGCTGGTATGCACACACTTTGGGCACACAAGGACAAAATGATTAGCCATCACTACACAGTTCAGTGTTTTGTAAGGAAACTGTATTGCAGACCCATGGACAGCTCTTTTTAGTGTCAACTAAACCTCACAGTAGCTTGTCTGTAGTAATTTTGCAGATCTGACCACTTTTTCCTAGTTCTCGGGATTTTGCCTTGATTTCAACAGTTCTGTATGCCTAGCATTTCTTAACAGTGTTTCTCAAAATTGCTATTTGGAAGTGTTTTGACATTTTTATAGTCTTCCCTGGCTTTGTAAGAGTGAATTATTTTCAGAGGTGGTGCTTGACGTCGCAACGACATGACATGCAATCTTGGGGCTCCAGGATTGTCATCGATATCTCTGTTCGTGGACAGTCCTTTTGGACCTAAACTGTTCTGAAGGAACAGTGATAGAGAAGAGCATGTCCTGCTGATCTCAGGGGCATCACAAAGCCCCTGATTGATCCAGGAGAAAGCTCTTTTTGCCAGCTACAAGAGAAGCAGCCAAAATGGTGGCAGAAGGTTGGGACAAGCCCCTGAAACAGAAGCAATATAGGAGAGAAAGTGTGTGTCAAAATGGCGCTAAAATTTTTTATTACTAGAGAAGGGAAAACCCAAAAGACTTGGAGTTTAAAATAAAATTGAAGACAGAAGAAAATAAGCGGCAAATTAACCCTGGTTTAAAACTATCTTGTTATCTTTTCTACCTTAACTTTGTTTTTTATGGATGGACTTTTTACAAATGCCTCTTACTTTTAAACTGGACTGGTCTCTTTTTTTTCTTCTTCCTCTATACTTTTTCCATTTTTTGTATTTGTGGATTAGAAGTTTCTTCTCTCGTAAAACTTGGACAGAGCATAATTTTTAAACTTTTTTCCCCCTCTTTCGGAGCTTGGAGTTTACAGAGAGAGGTAAAAACAAATGGAAAAGAGGTAACACTGCCATCTAGCGGCTAGAGGCTTGGCAATATCTGATAAAGCTATAAGCTTTGTTTACTGAAAGGGTCAGTGGAAAATGTTTTGTTTATACAGGTGTTCCTTTGAAGGAAAGAGAAACTTTGATTTTAAAAACTCCACTGAATTTGTTTGAAACCTAAAAAGTCTTGGATGTTTTGGCAGTGTTTATAACCTGGAAAATGGCACAATGTGAAGAAGAAAAGGCACTAACTTTGCAAAGAAGTTTCTTAGAAATTCAAAAAGTTTTAATAATCACAGAAAGAATTGAAAAGAGACTTGAAATTGTAGATCAAAATACAGAAAGTACAGGGACAATGATGAAGTTTGAGGATAGAGCTGAAAAAATAATAGAGATAATAATATGAAAGTGATAAGAAAATTGTTGACACTGACAGCACCCTGAGAGTGGAGAGAAATGACAAGTGCGAAATATGGAAAGGAGAGATTGATGAACCGGAACTTCATTTCAGATGTCAGAACATAGATGAAGAAAGGAGAGAAAATTTGGCAGAAATAATGAGAGTAATCTTGGCAGAAACACTAATGATAACAAAAGTTAAGCTGATAAAAGAGCAGATAGAGGGTTTCGAATCCTTATAAGACATGCAATGAACAACAAGTTCTTAAGAGAAAATCACATAAGACTTATCAAGAAAACACTTAGAATAGAGACTTTACAAATCACAAGAGATATTGGAGTACACTATCTCTGGAAGGATACAGAATGATGAAATGAAATATCACAATAAATTTTAGTTAAAAGTAGTTAAATTTTGAGTGCTAAGTACAACATAATAATAGCTATAGTCAAATAAATGATTAATGATTATAACAAAGCATTTATATATACTAGATTGATAATATGAAATTTTATACAATACTGTAAGTGAGGATTATGGAGATGATGTTGAAAAGCCTTTTTATAAAAGATAAACAATTCTATATAGAATAGAATGTAAAGAGATAATATCATTGGATGATTTCAGGATTATGTAATAAAATGTCATAATATAAATTTACTTCAAATTTAATATGCCTTATGTTGAAAGGATGTAATAAAAGCTAGGCTTAATGGATGTTTAATAATTATAACAATTTGTATACATGTATATTAGATTGATGATATTAATGGGAAAAAACATGGAATTGAAAATTATTAGAGAATGTTATCAATGCTAAAATAATAGAATGACTTAGAATAGGATAAAAAATAACTCTTTATTATTGGATATATTGAAGATGATATAATGAATAATTATAATATTAATGATTATATATTTAGAATACCTTGTCTAAAATGGAGAGAGAATAGTGATAATCAAACAAAGGAAGCATAATAACAATGTATACAAAGATATCAATTGACAATATGTGAATTTTGATAAAAATTCAAGTGATGACTATGGGAAGGACGCAGAAAGACCTTGTAACAATCGACACACTGTATGTAGTTGAAGAGGCTTTTATGTTATATGTGTTGTGTGTTTGGGTTTGAAAATAAATTTTTTATTTTAAAAAAAGAGTGAATTATTTTCAAATGCTCGGACAGCTGCTTAGAGAAGCCTGTGGCTGTTGAAAGCAGACAGAAAAAACACTCACACTTGAGAGGTTAGAAGGCTCACAGTATTTGTTTATCTATGAAATTGTTCTGGCGTGGCATCTTATGCTCTATGATAGTTTGTTCCAGCTCACAAAAACTGATCGTTAAAGTTTCTAGAATTTTGCAAGGTGGCTTGAGAGCACAGATGCCACAACATTGAAGGCTGAGCAATGCTACAGTAGTAATGAAGCCGGTCGTTATGCTTTCCAGCACATTACTGTAACATGTTTTGGTTATTCACCCAATCGAAGTCTCATCATTTTTGTACATGTGTGCCAATACATGTACAAGAAGAGTGGGACTTCAATTGCTATGTCATGCCCATCACCACTGCAATTTGACACCTCTGCTACTTATGGATTCACCCAAAGTTGAATCCAAGTTTTACACTGGCCACAGATAATTGACTTTTCTAATCTGGTAGGGATATTAAAGCTTCAAGATCTATTGGGCTTTGCCCATGGAACCTGAAAAGTCAGAGACAGACTTTAGCAATTTTACATTTTCATTGTTAAATATATTCTTATCATCATTTACCTGTTGCTGATTTTCTCTCTGAGAATGTAGGCGAGCTTGAATGCATTCCCTTGTTTCCTGAAAGGCCTGTCTTTGGGACACCTCAGCTGGATAGTGTGTACACACCCCTACAATGTTTGTGCAGATGAAGATGAGGATGTTGGACACCAGCTGTGAAGGTCATATGGGTAGGAGAGAAAGACAAAACAGGTTATGTTTCATAAACATACGTATAAGAATAGACATATAACATCTACATCTGAGAGCATAAAGGAAGATATACAGTATATACCATTTTAATAGCATCTATATAAGCTCTTCCTGAAAACCACTGACTTCCCCGAATCAAGTAACAATTAAAGCGAATGTATTGTCGTCCAAGTGCAAAGGTCTGTGAGTTCAATTCCTAATACGAACCCTGTAGAACACCATCTGGCTACTCATGTAAGAATTGTCAGTTTAATCTCTTCTTTTAATAATTGTTGATCTTATTGAACACTACTTAAAATTTATAAATAATTACCTACCTGCCAATCAACCAACCAACTTTTGGTGTTATATCTTTTTCTGAATCCTTATGAACCAAATGATTTTTTTTCAAATCAGCAATATAGTAATTATAAGTGTCCCAGAATGTAAATGAAACAATGGTTAAATATTTTTATCTATTTTTCCTGGATGAAATCTTAATTCCTCATCTACAGGGAATTTTGCAAATCCTTTATTATGATACATTATTGCTTAATCAGACATTAGGGTCTTTCAAGTGAATTGTTCCAGTAAAATATAGGGCTACATGGATGCCCTCTTAGGATATACTTTCAAAATCACTTTACAGAGTCTTATGCCCTAGAGATAATGCCTTTGTTGAAACACTATTTTAAATCAATGTTTCTTTGTTGATCCTTAGAAATATATTGAATACAGTATTGTAAATGTACAGTGTATGCTTATAATGCGTTTCTAAATACCATTGCTACACTGGTGTTTTCTGGAAATATTTCAATCTTGGCCCGTCTATCAAACATACATTTGACCCAGAGGTGGGTTCCTACCGGTTCAGATGAGTAAGTAGTAACTCGGTCTGCCACACCCCTGAACCGGTTCTGTCGGTGGCACCATCTTTTGTTTTTGATAAATGACTCCAATTACCATCACTTATAAACATCTATATATACATGGCACCAAAGTTATAAATGGATAGCATCTTTCTTCTTGCATATGCCTTACATTTCATGATAAAGTTCAACTTTTAAGAAGAGCTTCTAAATGTAATTTCAAATAAATAAACACAAAGTTGTGCTACTCAACACATTAAAGCTGGGCACAAATTGACCTTTGTGTATGTAAAATCAGTTACTATGGTTTTAAATCATAATTTATGATTCTGTATGCAATGTGAACCTGAACAAATATGAATTGTTTTAGTAAACTATAACTAAAGTATGGCTTCAGGTAGCCAGTTAACTCAGCCTACTGAAATATTAAAGCAACATAAATAGATGTTAGCAAAGCTATAAGTAAATTAATAAACTGTATATTTGATATTCTGTCTGCTTAAATATTTTAATGTAATCTAATTAACTACCTGAAAATGTTAAAATGGGACCAATAAATTTAAAATATTTTTGCATATTTTTATATTACGTATTGCTACAATCAATTTTCTGAGGAAACATTATTTCAAGTTATGGCAATCATTTGTAATAGTTACACATCAAGACCATATATTGTTTTTATCTTCTGCAAATGATAAAAAAGACAGAGATATTGTTGTTAATGCAATATAGTTTTTTTTAATGTTCAAAACTTAAATGTTCACATTTGAAACTTTCCTGGTGTAGTAGAATTGTTTGGATTAGTCTTTAAATTGTTTCTTTTAGATAATAACAGACTATGCTAATGTAAAACTGCATTTGATGTTGTATTTTTTAACAATTGTGTACACTGCCCATGAAAATATGCTATCAAGGCAGTTTAGAAATGTAATTAATAAACGTCTTACAAAATTAATAGCTGTTATTTATAGCTGCTCTAAATGCTTAGTTTTATTTAGGCCATGAACAAACCATTGTACTTGGAATCTGGCTGTAAATCCCTGCTCATTTATCTGGGTGTAATCCTGCTAACCTCAAAATTGCTTACTGTATGTATAAGTAACATTGTTCTGTAAGTAAATTTTCAGTTTAATCAAGGCTGACGCCTGCTGGGTTTACAATCATTTCAATGTTGTTCTCTTGGCAACAATACTAAAATGGTTTGCAACTGTTTCTTTTGGGATGCTTTGTTGATTTTCCAGTCTCTTCCAAGTACCAAGATTTTTGGTGGTCTCCCGCCAAATATTAATTAACACCAGGGCTAAATGTTGGCTGAGGGAAGTTTCAAGTACCTTTCTTAGATAGCAACTTTTGAGCCCATTTGTGTTCCACAAAAGCTTCTCTAGATCAGTAATTCCCAATGTCCCACAGGTTCCCAACGTCCCATGCCCCACAGAGGGGAAATCTGATTTTTAATGGGAGCAATTTGGAACCTTGTTTAATCCAAGTTAATGGTCTTTTAGGCTTCCTCCGTATGAGTAAAGTTCACTTTTTGAGTAAAGTAAGAATTATATGTCACCGGCGGGGGGGAGGAGGATCAGGATTTTAGAGATGCTTA